AAGTTGGGAATACGGGTCTTGGCAGAAAACAATACCTCTACATGTTTGCTTACATGAAAAGATTTCTCATTAACCAGATTAAGAAAAAAATCATAGGACATGTGCTCTATACTGACATGTGTGTTGGTTTTCTTTGGTGAATTGGATGTGTGTACACTTTTCTCTGCAAGTGCTCAAGTGAGCACTTTCTAAGATTGTCCTGGACTCGGCACATGTGTCCACATGTCTGTGTGGTTTGGTGTGAGGTGGGCATGGGGCTGAAGTCTGAGGAGAACACCTTAGGTCTAGGCAGAGACTCCCAGCTTTGAGCTGCTATGGTCCTTGAGTGACTGGTTACATTCCTGTAGTCATGAGAAACTAGAGATTGGTGAAGACATGTCAAACTTATCAGTTGTTTTGGTAAGTACATTCATTTGTGAAACATTTCTTAAAATCGTCTCCCCTAAACTAAATATAGCTTTTTCCATAACTGCTATCTTTTAGGGTTTGCAGTTGTTCTGGTTTTGTGTGTGTGTGTGTGTATACATATGCATGTGTGCATGGGGTGTGTTTTGGAGTTTCTACAGACTTGTGTCCTTTGTGTTGGGCTAGGTAGCTTTTCCCACTTGGTATTGAGTAAAAATCAAAAGTAGATTTGTAGATTTTAAGATAAGCTAGAAGAACACCAGAGAACAAATTTGTGAGGAGTATCAGATGGAAAGATCTGAAAATAGCAACATTGTTAGGATAAGATGAATAAGGCTAGATGGGAAAACTGGGCAGGGACTCACACTTCTGAGTTTGAGGTGAATGTGTGATACAGGGAAATGAGCAGGATGATGGCTTTTACCTCAGTCATTTAGTGTAAAACATATTTGTAGGTAAAGCATGTGAGAAGTATTCAACTATAGACCCTTCATATGTATAAGTACGGGAAATATTGGAAGTTTAAGATCTAAAGTAATATTTTTGGTTGTTTCCCATTTTCTGGAGAATGGAGATTAATGATCAATGGTCAGTAAGAGTTCACCCTATGGGTGTCTTGTGAATCTGGCCCTCCTTTTAGGAGGACTGAACTCCTGGAGTTGCCTTGAGTGGCAAGAAACCATGCCAGGAGATGGTATCCTAGATAAATGACAGTCTAGCTTCGTGTCACTGACATTGGATTCCAGGGAAACTTCGGCACCTCTTGCCCCCCATGAGTAGTTCAACTCAATTCAATATAATTCTTCCCAGTTCACTTAATTAAAACAATCTTCTTGGTTTCTACCTTGTATTGCTAGGGTAAGGAATGTTCTAAATCTACCCTGTCCAACACAATAGCCACAACACAATGGCCACAAGAAGCATTGTTCTCCCACATGTGGCATTGTTCTCCCACATGTGGTTATTAAACACTTGAAATATGACTAGTTCAAATTGAGATATGCTCTAAATACGAAATAACAGATTTTAAATACGAAATAACAGATTTTAAAGAAATAGTATGCAAAAATTGTAAAATATTTCATTCATATTTTTATTTGTATTAATGAGATGTTGAAATAATATTTCAGATATGTTAGGTTCAATAAAATATTAAAGTCAATCATGGCTTTTCCCCCCAATGTGGTTAATAGAAAACTTAAAATAAATATGTGACTCATACATTTATGGGTCACATGGATTTTGGTGGGACAAAATTATTCTAGGGTATTCTGGGGGGGAAGAAAATAGTATTTGAAGTTTCCAAGTAGTACTATGAGCTAGCTAATTTGGCTCTGTAGGACATTTTAGGGGGCACATTCCACAAATCCCCTTTTCTGAGAATAGGGGAGACTTCCAGAGATGTATACTTGATCCTTTCTCCTCACCACCTCCCTCCTAAATCTCTTCCAGTCTTGAATGGGTTAGTATGGTAAATACATTTCTCTTGCAATGGAATTGCAATTCACACAAGTCTTTACATGGAAATATTAAAAAGCCAAAACTATAGCTTTTATTTCTCAGTGAGCTCTAAAAGACAGAATCTAGTTCAAACTATTGGATAACTTTGAAAGTTACTTGGTTTATCTAGAAGGCTAAATTAACACCACGTGACAGATAATGCTAGTTAAGCCAGGAATAGCACGTACATTTGGCAGGTGCAGCTTGTGATGCTGATAGCAATTGACAATGGAAAACGACATATTTGAAGTGGTATTTGTAGATGATGGATGGGGATGACTGCTTTGTCCCAAAGAATATGGAAATAAAGGAGATATGATTGCCTTCTGAGAGGTGACTATGAAAAGGATGCAAACACCTCAAAAGCAGGATCTCAAATTTAAGTATTCTGGTGTCTACACAGGTATATAAATGAGAAAAGTGGGCCAAACTTCAGAACTGGTGTTTAATTCCCCACTGACAGAAGAAGCCAGAACTCTTTTTTGGCTACTGTTTTGCTCTATGGGTTTGGTATTATTGAATCTAATTTTTAAATGAAATACTTAAATTTTTAAGTGATGACAACTAATTAAAAAATTAACCACTTGAGATCTGAACCAAATGGCTCTAGTCTTAAAATTAACAGCGTTTCCTTTATTTTGCTTCTATAGTTACTGAATTGACTTTTGGTTACATGTTTAATGAAAACTGGACTATACACTGAACAAATTAAGTATCATTTATAGGCACTGCCCATGCTGCCTGGTGCTAATCTTTCTATACCCATGTGAGGCTGTCAATAAATCAGAGGGTTTAAATAATCCGTGGGCCTCAGAGGTTCTTAATGCAATTTGGGGGTTCCAAGACAGGTATCTGTCTTGTAACTCAAGGCTCCTGAGAACTAGTCAGTGTTCTGATAAATCAAAACAATTTCAGCACCAGCAGTTAAGGAGGATTTATATTGAAATGCAACCTACTGTTTCCCTCTGTCCATCTTCCTCCAGACGCTGACTCCTGTAAGTCCCGAATCCAGTATGAGTTTCAGTCTTAAGTAATAATTTTTGTCTGTAAATTGAAGTAGTCAACTGGCACTCTCAGTCTGGCTAATCTAGTCTGTTCTTGGAAGATGGATCTGCTCATCGAACACTCAGTAACTCCATTTTAAAGCCTGAAAGTTCCAGGTACTGCAGAAACATCTGGTTGCTATTAACAATTTCACTTGTGCCAGAATTTCAACAGAATGCCTAATTTTTAGTTTCTTCTTTATAAATTTAGGTGAACAGAAATAAGCACCAATAAAACTCGTTTCCCAGTGGAAAAAACCAAAATCTAAGCCACAAAGTGGGCTCTCTGTTCAAATTAGCTTAATATGAGATGCAATGCCTGTTCTGAACCAAAGAAGTTGCACCAATTCCCCCTCAACATACAGACATCTTGATGAAAATGATTGTTCTCCAGAGGCACCTTAATCTGCCCGTTGGTGCTTATAGTTTCACACTGAAAGAATGTGTCTTAAGAGCATTCCTTTCCAATTGCAGTATCTGAATCCAATGGAAAAAGCCCAATGGCCGCTATGGAAAGAATAAGATATGACAGGAAAATGCAAGAGACTTGTTAAAGCAAGCAGGCAGGTTTGTTCAAGTGGGCAAGGATGTGGTCACCTACTGTGTGAGTGAAAGTGGACAGAATGGTCATCCTCGGTGTCCCCAAGAGAAACCACAGTGAAATGGCTGTCCGCCAGACAGCTGGCTGTGAAGCCAAAGCCAAATCTCTGTTGCCCAAAAGATGAGCACATCATGTGAGAGAGCTGCTGGGCTGTTCTAGTGTTATCTAGTGGCAGCATAGGTTTTGGACATTGTAGATTTCTGTTCTTTCACATATTTTATCCCTGGAAAGTGTGTTATAGAAGTAAACTGTGGAAATCAAGTCCAAGACCACAGTGATCCAGTGCCAGCAGCAGAAAGCACTACATGAAACATTGCAGAGCTCCTGTAAATTAACATAAACTGTGGAATTCAAGGCTCATCTAGACTACATACTGTGAGGGTCCCACTGAGTGTCTGTGGTGTTTGAGAAGCCCTCTTTGACTTCAGGTGGGTCTTGTTACTTTCCTTACACGGAAACTAAAATGAGGTTACTGACATGAATGCGGAGGATTTATAACAAGACATAATTTTACATTAGAGTATATTTTCAGGTCAGTGGAGATAGGAACCCTGATTTGTGCAGGAAGGAGAAGATAATGTTCTTTACCAAACTTTGAAAGCAGGCAGAGACTTTCATTTTTTCTTTGCCCCTTTTTTCTGAGGCCTGTGACACCAAGAGTCAACTTATTCCAGTGGATTTTTGGAAAATTGCTATCAAGAGCATCATGTGAAGGCAAACTGTGTCACATGGGTAGAAGTGAGGTCTGTTAAATTAAATGCCTCTTGTTCGTTGTTTATTGCGATTGGACATTTCTTCTAAGTGATGTACATGTGTCAATTTATTTAGCCATCACAACTTCCCTATGAGGTAGTCTATCTCACTTAACAGATGAAGAGACTGAAGCATTGGTATGTCACATCACCTCTGCGTTAAAAAGCTAGCAGTGCTGGGCCTCCCCTGGTGGTGCAGCGGTTGAGTGCTGGGCTGCGAGGCTGCCCACAGCCTCTGCAGCACCGGTTCATTCCCCGGCCACTGGCGAGGGTCCCACAAAAAACAAAAACAACAACCAAAAAAAAGCTAGCAGTGCTTATTTGGAGTTAGAAGCCAGGCAACTACACTTGAGTGTAACTTGAAGATACTAGGGAGTCTCATGGCAGGCAAGTAGAGTTTTTGGGAGGCGTGTCCTTGGAGAACCAGGATTTAATTCTGCTCTGAATGGGGCCCCCAAGGTCCATGCTATCATTTGGCTGTGCTGCAGGACCTGAAAGAACCAGTGAAGATTTTCTTGCTTGAGTCTGTTGGGGAGAGACTAGGAATTTGGGGGAAGCTTTTGAAATTCATTTGCTTTAAATATTTGACCATTAGATCCCACACTCCTTCCTTTGCACCATTATGCAGTGGGGATGACCCAACACATGGAAACAGAGACAGAGGATTTCTAATCAGCCCTTGAAACCATCATTCCTCACCATATTTCGAATCCCAGATTGGTGGTGTTGACGTCTGGGTCATCCAAAGCACAGGTCAGAAAGTGCTGAGATCCATTGGCTTCCAACTGACTATAGCAGGAGAAGGGATAGTCTTCCAGTTCTGCGTCTTCAAAGTCTCCTGGGGGGAAACAAACCTGTGACTGTTAAAGAGACAAGTCTGGAGGCACGTTAAGGAAATGACAGCCTTTTGTGGCACATGAGCAGGTGATTATTGTTAATCTAAAGATGGAAAACCTAAGGGTGAAGACAAGAAACAGGTTTTCAAAAGACCAAAAATCAAACTTTAATGAGCAGAGTTTTCCAGTAGAAAAAAGATTACCACAATTAATAAATAACATCCAAATAGCTCTGCACTGGGTAAATGCATTAGATGCCTAGAATGAAACACTAAACACACTCTTTTCATGGGATTTTTTTCAGTTGGGTTGTACATTTCAAAGAGATATTTTATCTCCATTATTTGTATGTGATCTAATCTAACCTTAAGGTTACTAATCTTAATTTATTCCTTCCCAAGTTTTTATTTTTATTTTATTTATTTTTTATTATTAATTTTTTATTTTTTACATCTTTTTTTTTTTTAAAGGTTAACAAAAGGTTTATTTACAAGGGAAGGGGAATGAGAAAATGTACAATTCAGGGAGAAAAGAGGGAGATAAATTCTTAAATGCGTCCTACCTGTTCTGCCAAATGACCCGCTGAGACCAAACCAGCCTGGCCAAGAGCAGGAGCCAGGTGTGCCCGACCCCACTAACATGGTTTTATTTACAAACAGAGAAAATGGCTGCTTAACTCCATCCTTAGGTCCTTGCAACTTCCTTTTGGAGATCCTATTCCCAAGTTTTTTTTAATGAAAGAAAATGTTTACTGCCTTACATTCAGAAGTTCACTTCTTTGTAAGAGGTAGTTTTCTTTTGTTTAACTAGGCATCCCAGCTCAAAGTACCAATGATGTTCTCCATTGCATGAATATTTATTTAGGTAATTTAAATGACTAACTGAGATATGTGTGATTAGACATAATGAGATCTGACATGACTCAGCTCTGGTAGATGTCAGCAAGAGTCATGATACTATTCCAGTTCTTATAAACCTTTCTACAGGTCATATATCTAGTAGATACTTAGCACAATTCTGGAAGCGCCACATTTTTTTGTAGCCACTTTCGAAAAAATACAATCGATCACGGATATTATCTGAGTTTTTAAACTGGGTTGAGATTCTAAGACCACGTAGAAATTTTGCATGCATATTTCACAAAAGAAATAGAATACTGAGGCTGAAAAATCTATCAGTAAATATACTCTAACTGGGATTTGAGAACAACTAACATTATTCTCAGAGTGGACAGTATAAATCTGTGCCCACTTCCAAGTATTTTGGTCCAATGATACTAGAAATTAGATGTTTCTAGGGTTTTAAATAGAATATAGAATATATTAAAATTGAACTTCAATGTCCTGAAGGCCAAGGGTGTCCAAATAGCATTCTCATTACATAATAACCCACTACATCTGTGAGAAAGTTAGTAAAATTGGTGTGAGTTTGCTGGATAAGCTCATATAATATACGAAGAACTGGTCACAGTTTTTCCTGCACTCAACGTGGCTATATTTTAAGAAGCAACTCATTTGACTCTTTAACAGATGTTACCAGGCATGATTGTTTTGTAACAAAGAAAAATCTCCTCCCCACTTAACAAATCACATAACGTTGTACAGAGAGCATGTTATCACTGATGTAAGCTGAGCAATTCTTAGTTAAGAGTAATATACACATAGTCAGGACCTGTGGAGCTATGTGAGTTTGAATCTTAACTAGTCTCTTATGTCACTGGGACCCCTCATCAGGATATTCAACCCTCCAAGCCTCAGTGTTCTGGGGTGTCAGTTCATGGTAAGTATGAGGTAGCCCTAAATGAATATATCCAAGGGGGGAGAATAAAATGAGCGCTTAATAAAGGGTGACTATGACTAATAATATTTTTTGAGAAATAAGTAATGAAAAGGTAAAATAAGAATTGGAATTCTGGGCCTCCCCGGTGGCGCAGAGGTTGAGCGCTGGGTTGCGAAGCTGCCCACAGGTTCTGTGCCAGTTCAATCCCCGGCCACTGGGCGAGGGTCCCACATGGCGCACAGACCTCTCCTGCTGCCCACTGCTCCCCTCAGCAGTGTACTTCGTCGATCTGCCTGTTCTGTTCCCCGCTCTGGCTCTGGTGAACTCTCTCATCCTCCCGCGCTTCTGACTGTACCCCGTGCTTGTATAAATAAATAAATAAATCTAAAAAAAAATAAAAGAATTGGAATTCTAAGAATAGACATGAAAACTTGGGGGCCTCTTTGAGAAAGATTTCTACGTCAACTAAAGTTGCTATTGCGATAACTTTGAGAGTTTTTGAACAATGAGTTAGATGATTATTCTTTAAATACTCACTGGCTAAGCATATTTTTCCACACAAAACTATTTTTTGAATATGCATGAGAGGCAAGCGATGTGGTTTAGAAGTTTTCTCCTATTGTAAGAAATTGGTTAAAAGTATATGCGGTTTGGGTTTTTGTTAAGGATCCTCTTCTTCTCTGGATCACCCTTGCAGTTAAGAGACTAATAACGTTTAACAAAATAGCCACAGATTATTTCGTTAATTCCTTATCCTCAAACTGGGAAGGATTTCCATATAATCAGGGGAATTGGTGGTGACAGATCTCCTAAAAATGTTTTTGAAATTTGAAGAGTTGAAGTGAAAACTCAGTTTTCAATTAGAATTGTATTTCATTTAAAAATAGTATGGCCACTGAGAAGAAACTGAGGGAACTTACACTCCAAAGAGCACAATTGTGTGTTTCTTGCTCCCCATCTATCTATGCAAACACAAGGCAACGTTTGCCTTGAAACAATGAACACATCCCCCACAAGATGATTCATACATAGTCACACAGAAAAATGTCAACCCTCTGACAATTCCTTTAATGAAATATTCTAGGGATTTCCATCCTTAGTAATTGCATGACTTAAAATATCTAAACTGAGTCATTAGACTGTTTGTCTTGAAATCTTTGATAAGCAAATACTTCTTAGCTCTTAAAGTAAAATGGTTTAATTCTCAGGAAGACTTTGATGGCCTGAGTTCCCAGGTCACTTGTGCTGCTGCTTCATCTTTGTCTGTGGTTTTATTGGAATTACAGTGGATTTACTAAGTAGCGGTGTCTGCATCCAATACTAAGAATTTTAAGGACCCGAAGGAGAAGAATTATTATATGATGGTAAGTTTGCTGCTAAGGAAGCAATTAAATATATTTCAATGAGGCTTAAATCTTAGATCTTACTCCATTCTGAATCCCATTAAGAATTCTCCTTTAAGGGCCTCCCCTGGTGGCACAGCGGTTAAGCGCTGGGTTGCGAAGCTGCCCACAGGTTCTGCGCCAGTTCGATCCCTGGCCACCGGGCGAGGTCCCACATGGCGCGCTGACCTCTCCTGCCACTCACTGCTCCCCTCAGCAGTGTATTTCATCAGTCTGCCTGTTCTGTTCCCGGCTCTGGCTCTGGTGAATTCTCTCACGCTCCTGCACTTCTGACTGTACCCAGTGCTTGTATAAATAAATAATCTTCTAAAAAAAAAAAAGAATTCTCCATTAAGAATCCCACCTATATCTATGAAAACTAAAGTATTTTGAAGAAATTTTCAAATATTGATTGAATTTCCACTCTGCTGGGGGTTAGCAATGGTCAATGGCAGACAAACCTATCATTTTGAACATGATTTTGTCAAGAAAATTTGTATGCTTTTGGACCCTCATAAAAAGCTAAACAAAACAGATCTAGCTTGATTTCCTGACCAGGTAAATTACCTTGGATATTGTCCAGAGGAAATTATGTAAGAGTGCAGGGTGATACCTAAGATCCATTTTTTTTGGAGAGTCAGAGGCATTCCTTGTTGGCAATTCTAAGACTTTCTAAATCACCCAGAGTATTGTTCCAAGTCCCCATTTTGTATGTTCTAAGAACCAGGGGATTTTGTACCTTGCAGGATGTGCAAACCCCTTTGGTGTTTAGAACACACAAAATGACTGAATACACGGTAAGTCCTGAAACTGCATTCCAACCTAGAGCCAAGCTCAGGTCTGCTAGGCATCAGAACAAGCTGGAGCAAATGCTAGAGGTTATCCAAAATCCTAAAGGAAAGATAGAAATGACTCACCATTCTGTGCATATCCACTTTCTCCACAAACGGCTTGAAGTAAATAGAAAACCATACCAAAAGCAATACCTAGAATTGTCATTCTGAGAGACAGAGAGAGAGGGAGAGAGAGAGACAAGGAAAGAGAGAGAGAGTGAGAGCGAGCAAGCGAGAGAGAGAGAGAGAGAGAGAGAGAGAGAGAGAGAGAGAGGGGCAAGGGCCAGCGTGTGAGCCTGTGTGTCGAATGAATGGAGAAAGAAAAAGACAAAGCAAGAGGGAGTGCAAGAGAGACTTAAATCTACAGTTTTAAGTGTTTATACTTATCTAACCACAGATGGGGGAAGTATAAATACAGAAAAGAAGAAGGCATCTAGAAACAGGAAGTCTGATTACAAGTAGTGCAGCTCTAAGCAGAGGTGGAGGAAATGAAGGAGTATTCCTGGTGTATCGCTCTTATTCCAGAGCAAGGCGGTGGATTCAAAGCTAGATTCAAGCCAGCTCAGCTCAGAGTGTGAATAGGAGCCAAGTTGAAAGACTCACAAGACAAAAATCTGAACTTACAAGGTAATCAACTTGTGAGTTTTGCTTTAGAGGAAAAATTCTGCACTTTATGATGTAATTTGTTGCAGGCTTATTTAAAAAATTTCACACCCAGTCTCTGAACATACGCATTAGAGAGCTTCACAAAGTCAGCAGTTTGTCTGCTGCGTATTCTTTGTATTTTCTTACTCAATATAGTAGGCATGGTAGGCATTCAAGCCCCTGTGGTTAAGGGGTTAAATGTGGCCGGCCACCTGTTTTTGTTAATAAAGCTTTATTGAAGCACAGTTGCTTGTGTGCTTGACCATCAGATTTGAGTGACTGTGACAGAAACTGTATGATGCACTAAGTTTAAAATCTTTATGATCTGATGATTTTTAGAAAAAGTCTGCTGACATCATGTTTAATGGATAAAGTATTTACTTTCTTAGTGTGCTTAAATAGGATTTACTTTGGAAATCTGTGCAAATTCAGGAACACAGGCCACACATAAATCACACCGGTAGCAGCACAAGCCTGAGACAGTGGCAGAGAGACTTCGGATTTTCCCTCGATGTATCTGTCAATCAAAATTGTCCTCAATATGGCCTTATGGTTAAAGTCATGGTGTTTGTCAAGCACAACTGACTTCTTGGCAATAGTTGGATTTTTTCGTTAAGCCATTATCGGTGTTGGAAGGCACAGTTGACAGCAGTCAGACGATGTTCCCTGAAGGACATCCTGTTGTGTATGGCTTTGAGTGAGATGTATAACCTAGATTCAGGCCATAAAACACCACTCTCTGATTCATGGTGGCTCTCTTTGGGAAAAAAGCCACAAGACTGCAATTGCTATGTGATGGGATACTGAGTGGGCAGTGAGTTATGAACTTCTATTTGATTCACTATTATTGGGTAGAATCGGTTCTCTGGGTCTGCTGTACAATTGGCTATATTCACAGCGATGAACATTTCCTATTGTGTAAAACACAATCTTTCAAAGTTGTATGGGTTTGCTTGTCTCCTGCTAATAGTCACTGTGCCAAGCTTACAGAATGAGAAAAGAGGAGGTGTACGAGTCTCTGGAGGCCCCCTTCAGTGGGAAGGAAAATCCGGTCACAGAGTTGGGTGCCCTCTTATAATGCCACGTTCTGGGAGCCAAACAAAAGGGAGGGATATTTCAGAACCAGAAGCCAACTGATTGGGGGCAAATTTTAGCTCCTTCACCTAGCATATCCAAGGGTGACTATTTTGTGATAATCATTTGTGTTCTTATTTCTAACCTTGCTTTGAAAGCTTAGTTAGAAAATCCTAATTCTGATTCACAAAATTGGCATGTTTTGTCTATTGATTTAAATGGACTTTCAAGAAAGCTATAACTACAGATTTCCATAAACTAATGTTCAAGGAGAAACCACAAATTCATCTCTCTATCAACACAGATGTCATACATCGCCCAGGCTTCGCTCCATCGGGGAATAATTGGGTCATGTCTCTTTAAATTCTCTTGTTTATCATTTAAGTGGACTATCATTTTGATTGTATCTCTTTCCTTTAGTTGTGAAGATGTAAGAAGAACAAAGCCAAGACACAATATTTTGGTACAGCATGTGCTAGTTTGCTCAGGGGATTTCCACTGGTGTATTTACTCTCTTTGGGTGGGGTAGGAGAGATGCCAAAGGACTTGAGAGAAACCTAGATAAAATGCGGGGAGTTTAAAGAAATAAGAAGCCTCACTAGTCCTTCTAGAGATTATGGTGGAAGATGATACCTTCTCTGCCTTCTTCACCCAGGTCTTGCTGGTCCTTTGGGAACTTAGGAAAGCTGAGGAAGAACCACTTGCCCACCTGGTCTCCACTGAGAGGCATTTACACTGTGCCTTGTCGTTACTATCCACTGCAGAAGTAGAGAAATAAGAAAAATGCACGAGGAAAGACACTGGGGCAGCTGTGTGCCCTCTGTGAAGTCAGAATCTAAGCGTCGGACTGTGGGCAAAGCAAGTTCTTTGACAAGACAACTTGACTGGGGCGACATCTTCTCCTTTTTGTTTCTCATCACCTCCTTTCAGCACTGTCTTTCCTCTTTATATGTCATCTTGCTGTCGCTCATGAGTTCCTATGATGTGGTGAGTCATAAGAGGAGAGGCATTTTTTTTCTGCCTCATAGATAAGTAGAACAGTGACCTAGGAAGACTCCAGTACCAGTGGTCATGTTGCTCCTTCTTTTTGTTGTGATTGTTCAGACCATTTGTCAAGTAGACAAAGCACAGAAAGAAGGTTTTCTTTTATTTTACACTGCAATACATTATGTGCCCTTTCCATAGAACTGGTAGAGCCCCACAGATTAAGAAAACTGAGCTTTTAGCTATATTTGAAATTCTGCAGTGATAGAGGTGGGAGAGGGTTCCACTCTTGGTTGATGTTTGTTGTTTGTTTACTTGGTCAGAGTTCACCTGGGAACCTCCATGTTTTCTCTAGTTTCTCAACCAGTAAGAATGAATATTTTCTAGGCAAATTCGGGGTAAACTTAATATTAATCTCCACTGGATTTATCTCTTATGAACCAAAAGCTCATTTCCATTTTTACAGAAAGTATAAAATTTGTGGGTAAATACGAGTGCACCATCTCCTGCAGCACCCTTGGGAGAAAAACTGTTTTAAGAGCAAAAAGTATTTCTGTGACTCAGTTTTCAGATGCAGTTGATAAAATAGTCCTTAACCATTTAGTAATTTATCCTAAATGAGAAGATTTAAAAGTTACTCACCTGTGATTGAATACTGCAGAGTAATAACAATGGAACAACAATAACAACAATAACTATAGGCAGTATTGTTGCTATGGTGATATCCTGGACAAAATATCATGTTGGAAAAATACTCAACAAGTTCCAAATACATTCTATAAAATCTGTATTAACTGCCCCCTTCCCCACTTCACTTACCTTCCTTAAATTACAGAAATTATCCATGAAAATGGATAAGTTTTCAGATGAAAATAATCAGATGAAAATAATTTTGGACACTTGTCCTTTGGTGGGGAAAAACAAATCCAGGCCAGCTTAGCTCTTGGGAATTCCCAAGATCTAAAAGAAAAGAAAGATAAAAACACCAATGGTGTCACGTGAGGTAAGATGACTATAGAGAAACTTCATCTTGCTCTAGGACTGAGTGAATTGTGCTTAGCATTTATCAACATGTGCTGAGTCAGACCCTAGCATACTGAGGGGGAGTCCCAGCTTCATAAGTTTCATTTCCAAGAGCATAATATTTTCCTTGTTGTGGCTCTTGTTCATTTCCCTTTCCTCCCCCTCCCCCACGTTTTTAGCCCTATATCTTGCTGTTGTTTGTGTTCTTTCTGAGCAGATTTTGAAATGCCATAGCTGTTTGCCTTCATAAGGTTTTAGTCTCTACATGTGTCAGCTTATTTCTTTTTGCTAAAGATATTTCTGCCAGATATTGAGTATCTCAGTGTCAGGACATTTTGATAGAGACATCTAACGGGCATGCAGCTCCTTGGGGAAGGAGGTAAACCTACTGGCAATGGCTGCAGATCATGGCATTTCCACAGGCAGCTGGTGCTGGTGGTGGGTCTGTCAACAGCTCAAAGCTTTCCTTTTGGGCCCTTCCAGCAGGTAATTCATGACAGGCTCCTGCTCACAACTCTAGTGTCAGATACGGGACCTTTTGAGAAAAATCTAGATTATCTGGCTCTGCTCTATCTTCTTGTGTAATCCTTTGTCTTAGAGTGAGTTCCTATTCTCCCACAGAACATTTTTTTTTTAAAGATTTATTTTATTTATACAAGAACCAGGGTACAGGCCAGATACACTGGAGGGTGAGAGAATTCACCAGAGACAGAGCTGGGAACAGAACAGGCAGATGGACCGAAGACACTGCTGAGGGGAGCAGCGGGTGAGACAGGAGAGGTCTGCCACGCCATGTGGGTTTCTCCCTGGCCTGCCCAGAATTGAACCCGTGCTGCGGAGACTGCAGACAGCTTCACAGCGCTGCGCTCAACTGCCTGCGCCACCAGGGAGGCCCCACAGAACACTTTCTAAGGGACTAAAGTGCTGACACTCACACCAGTGTTCATACTCAGACAATTGGGAAAATTGTTAGGAATTTCAATTCTACTACAAATATTTCCCTTGCCTCCTAAGAACACAGCACCTTTGTGTGACTTGAATCTCCAAGAAAAGCATTAGTCATTTGTAATTTCCCAAGCTAAATAGGCAAAAACAACATTAAAAGTGATCCTGGGTGTACCTTTGTTCATGAAATTTCCACAGAGAAACTGTGAGTGGTCCTAAAACTGAAGAAACAGACTATAAATCCCTGGGCTGGGTTTTTAAGATGCAGCTATTGCTTCAGGATTCTTTTCAAGAAAACAGGGATAGTGCCTACTTTTGCTCTCCCACTGTTAACCTTTATGTTTGTCCCTTATCATTAATTTCAGGAGACTTTGGAATTTAGTACAGAATTTTTTTTCATGGTTGCTGCCTGTATTAGATAGACTCCGCTGCTCAAACAAGGAGCCCAAGACACATATGGAACAACGATAATAACAATAGATGCATATTTATTGCTCACTCATACTAGATGAGCCATGACAGCAAGCAGTTTTATGAGTTCACTCCATTAGGATCCCAGGCTGCCCCATTTCTTAGAATGTTCTGTTTTTCTGTGTGTTAGAGGCTAGCATAACAGTGTCTTTCTCTCATTCCAGCCCTTGTGTATCAAACACAAGGAGAAAGTGAGGAAAAAATCGTTTCCTTTTTTTAAGGACATGATCTAAAAGTTGTATATATCACTTCTATTCATGTCCTAGTGATCAGAAATTACTCTCTATCGTCACATTTACTGCAAAGGAGAAAGGGAAATGTATTCGGAACAGGAGGAGCTGTGTCCCCAATTAAACCCCACTAGTCAAAGGAAGAAGGGCAGAAGGAATGTTGGGGAGAACTAGTAGCGTCTGCAATTATTGTACACTCATAGTTACGCAAAAATGTGTATCACGAGGACCATCAGGAGTAGTAGCTATTTTCACCTGTAGGAGGAGAGAGTGGCCATTGATCTTGGGATTAAAGGCTGTGAAATAACTTATCAGGATCTGAAAGAGTGGACCAAGATCTGATCCAGGCAAAACTTGCACTTGGCTGATGGGAAAATAAGACAATATTTATGCTAGGACCATATTCTCTGATCCCAGAACTTATATCCTAAAAGGCTTTGAAGAGCATTCAAACTCTAAAAGCAAGGTTCTAAATCTAGGTACTCTATGATTTCCTGAAACTCTTAGAAATATATGGGGGTAAAGCCTTTTTCTTTAACTAGACTTTCAAAATTTTAAATCCCGACACATTAACCCAGTGGTGACACTATGTAGATGAATTGTCGTCATGGGCACCATGGACCATGAGACACCCTAGTGGTTGTATCTATTATCTTGATCTGAATTCTGTGTTTTGAGATACTGTGGATCTGGGCCAGTTCTCTCACCCCAATAATAGAAGTTGAGGGGAGTAAGGCCCTCAAGCTATGGCTACTGTGTGGGTTTCTATCCTCCAGAGTGAGGAGCAGACAGGAGAAGGTGGTCCTTTCTTATTTTGTCCTCAGTGACTGGAAGCCAGGCCTTCCACTGGGGAGGTCTCTCATCATTTTCTTCTTTCTAAAGCACTACTAATGCCTCTTTCCAAAGCAACTTTCTTCCTCTCTACAAACAGCACAGCCTATTCCCTTACTTTGCCTATATTGTGTGCTTTCTTAGCTAAATTCTCTTTTCTATGGAAAGGCAAAGGAGGAGATTTATTTCTGCTAAATGCTTTTTTAAGGTGGCAAAGGCAGGCAGAGAACTCTAGACTTTATACCTGTGTACATCCTGCACTTATTTTTCTGAAAGGAATTTTAGTGTTTTCAGTTCACTATGCAAATCTAGATTTTGCCTGCTCTGGTCATCTTACAATGTCTCCCACAAAGACAAAATCCTACCTTAAGTAAAATCTCAGATCCTGTTGGGCAGAAGGTCCTTCATAAAGGCCTCAGGGGCCACCAGATGATGCAGAAGGGAAGTGGAGGAAGGCTCAGCTACGGCATGGTGATGTTTTGGAAATATTAATCATTGCCTCCTCCTTACTACTGCCCAAGAGTTTTACTTCTCTGTTTTGCTCTTCCCATTCCACACTCCTCACACAAGAGCCAGGTTTTCTGAAGTCTTAACTCAGGGAATAAAAGTGCCCATTGTAAACACTGAAGAGAAAAATTTTACCCTGGCTTTTGAATTTCAAAAGTTACCATCAGAAGTAAAAGGAATGGTATAGTCTCATCTCCTTCCTTACTTATTAAGATTATCTCAATTTTTAATTTCTTCTACAGTTGTTTTTGGTAGTTTGTGTATTTCTGGGAATTTGTCTATCACATAGGCTAATTTATCTTTGTACAGTTATTTATAGTATTCCCTTATCACCATTTTTATTATGATAAGATCAGTAGTGATATTGCCTCTTTCATTCCTGATTATAGTAATTTGCATTTTCTCTTTCCCTTAATCAGTTTCTTAAAGTTTTTTGTGAATTTTGTTGATTTTTCAAATATCTTCCTAATTCAGCATAGGTATGAAGTTTTAGGCAAACCATGAAGAGAAGAACAGAGGGCAATACATTGTTGAGTACTGCTGAGAATACCCCTTAAAGCAAAGTCCCATTCTAATATCTGATTGGGGAAAGTATTACTAATAAAAAAAGTCATACTTTAGTATTCAAGTATGATTTAACTAGAATCACAGCACAAATACAGGAAGAGATGAGTCATCAGTTAAAATGATGTGATTTAAAGAATTTTGTGTTGTTCATGGGACTCCAGTGAGACTGATCAAAAATCTCCCATTTCATTAAATGACGAGCATGTAAATATGCACAAAGGATGTTAATCTCTCTTCTCTGAAACTGTCTTTGATTTCGTGATAGCTCTAAAGGATAGACTTCCCCAAGATGTTCCGACAGGCTTCCCCAAGATGTGTCACTTTGTCATTTGGATTGAGTTAGGGTTAATCAAGGCCCTACAGATTCAAGAGAAACTTTTTTAAAAAAAATAATGATGTATCATCATTTTACAACTTTGGTTTTTTTAC